CTGGGTTAGGACTCCAAGACACCGCGACACTTCGAGGGGACTTGGGAGACGCGTGGAATCACCTCGAGGGAAGTTTGAGCGCCCATTCAAGCGAAGAGCTCTGCGCTCGAGAATCAACTTGAAGCTTCCACTCGGCGAGATCATCTCATTCCTCTCGAAGTTGTCTTCGGAATTGTTGTCGACGTGCTCCTATACCGATCGAGCTCAGCTCTCTTCCTTGGCGGAGGCGATTCCCGGAGGGATCCTCCCATCCTGGTCCTTCTGTCTCAATCAGTGATTTTGTCTAAGCTGGCTGTCCGAATGTTTTATCCGAGCTCCGATAGCGACAAAATGGATGATCACTGTAGATAAAAGCGATAAGAGAGCCGCGCCGTGAGCATCCAATACTTCGGTCAGAGGGAGCTTCGTTCGGGCAACTCTTTGCTTCCCTGTCGCTGCCTCCGTGTCCATCGGTCTGTCTCTTCATTCGTCTGGGTATCGCTGTCGATTGGGCGCTCCGTTGCCCAGCTGGATAGATGGCGAACGCAACAACAGATCATTGTTTTCTAATTCCCACTCTTCCTTCCGTTCCTTTGATGGTAAGCTTACGAAGCAACCGTCGACGTCGGCGAATAGAGAGACGGCTGGGTCGGGCTGGACAAGACCATGAGGAAATGATCGGGGATCGAGAAGGAGACGCGGTCAGAGGACCGGGGAGACAGACACCGTGACCGGCGTCCTGATAGCGGCCGCTAGACTGTGTTGTGATCCTGATGGCTCCTTCATTGTCGCTGTGCGGTCTGCCGTGGCTAGTTGAACGAATGAGCGGAGGCTCCGTCCGACTGTCGACATGGTGCTCGTTGTTGTTTTCGTCGTCGTCGCGAATGCTATCATCGGGTTGCTATGCCCAATATTCATGAATGCCTAAGCAATAGAATGAATCTTAGCCCACGGTATTGCGGAAAACAGTGCACTCGAGCAATCGAGCGTAACGATCGCGACACGACCCCACCGTGACCTCAGTCGGAGAGGGAAAGAAAACTAGAACGGATTCCGATGGGGAGAGAACTTCCGGGGCCGCGAAATCTCGTATCGCGCGTAAGTTCTCCTGGGGCTCCTTCTGCAACAATGTTCGGTCCTCGAGTTTTGTTTGAAGCGGCCGCCTGACGCTAGAGCTCACTCCGCTCTCACGCAGGGATACATCGAGGCTTCTCGTCGGAGTTGGCGTCCCTTGCCGCGGGACGGAAGCTCCATCTGAGTGAGCGCTTTCCACTGCCGAACAAAAAGAAACAGGCCAAAATCGGTTTGAGAGCGACGGAAGAGAAGAGAAGGAAAATAGAGAATCAAATCTGCATAATCCCACGCGTTCAAGGATCGAGTTATAAAAACATGGCGGCTTTCTCTCCAAAAGTCACCTCCCCCTTGCCCCTGTTTCCCCGCGTCATTTTTCCCCGGTCGGACCTCGAGGGAAGTCGACCAGAAGCGTATCAACCGCTGGTTCCTTTCAAATATTCGCTGGCGCCTCACTCCCTTGCATTGATACCGCAAACTCTTCTTCTCTGTCGCAAGCACCAAAAATAATCTTGAGGCGAGCCGCTGACACGCTGTCTGCTGGGGGAATCTAATATTTCTCATCGGCTTGATCTCTTGATGACTCCCTGATTCGGAACCGGATGGGGGCACTGACGAGTATGCCCATTTCCTGGAGTTCGAACTCGACCAAGAGTCGGACCCTCCGCTGGAGTCCTCGGACGGATCTCGACTAGCTAGATCGTCTTTGTAATTACAGCGTCGGATTCGTAGCTCGTGTGTCCGTCCTTCCGTCTGTCATTGTACGGCGCGTCCTTCTGTGCTTGTATTCCGTCTCTAATAGCAATGTCGTGTAGATTCCCGCAGGTGTGTTTCATTCACATCCGATGCGTGAAGAGCTCCACATGGCCATGTACGACGACAGAGATACACGAATCGAGTTACACCGGCACACAGAACAGCGGGATTCGGTTATGTATCGGACGGTCGTTCGCTTATACGTACACTTCTGAGCTCGACGCCACATTCTCCATCATTGGAGCCTCATCACATTCATCGACATCTCCCTGCGAAGTTCTCGATGGTGAAATTAATTATTATCGAACTACGAACTGGATCCCCCCTCAGTTGGAGGATCGAGTCATCAATGGATTGGATGGCACATCAACTGATTGCCTGGCCGCCAATCGTGCGGCCGACCGAGCGCTTGTTCAGCGGTGTCTCCTCACCACGATGAATCATACCGGGGACGGGTGAGGAAATGAAGCACACGCCCGAATCTATCGGCGTAGGGAACCCGAGACCAACGTTCGCATCTACGAATCCCTTTCGGCTCGACTCTGACCGAGATACTTTTCACCATACCGCTAGTTTCAGACCCTGAAGAAAGCCTGTATGAACAGAAGCGGGCGACGTGAAGGGGGGCGATTCCATGTTTCCCTCCCAGCGAATATTTTCCCTGAGTTTCCTAGGCGGGCTGCGGAAATTCTAACGGAGAAGAAGATGAGCTCGGGAAGCATGGCTCCGGTGTCTATGGGGAACATAATTGACCCGGTCATGCATAATTTATTGTTGACAAGTAATTGACACCTCCGTAGTGCCTCGAGTCGCGTCGCTTTTTTTTGGTCACTAATAGCTATTGCGAGGAGCCGAGGAGGGCTACTCGCCGGGATCTTCCGGCTGACGAACCCTCGACTCCATCTCGCGCTGTCTCATCGTGACGTAAAGACGCGAGACGCTGTCAGCGATCATGTTTTCCACGTCATCGCCACGGGCGATCTGCGGTACGTGATGCGAGCAACTTGGACTACGGACACTTTACTCATTGAGTACAGAGAATGCATATCGTTTCCTTTTATCGGAGCAGCAGTTGCTCAGGGCTGTACAGATACATGGACCGTCGCACAGCAGGCTACCGACAGAACTTATTCTGCATCCGCGAGCAGGTTGCGGGAGACGTCAGACCGCGAACTCACATTCAGTGAGCAGAGTTAGCGTGGGAGTCCCTCGGCTTCCCCGGGAGCAGCCTTAGATGGAGCTGCATTTTGGAATCACCCTCATTTGGGGGCGCGGGGAAGGCAGAGGAGAGGCTTCACATCGACATTGAAGTTTCAAAGAGCATTCCAGACACCGAGAAATTGAACGCTCCTCGAGCTCACCGCTCTCACTCGGACCCCATCATGACGATTGCTCTTGAGCCGAGCGTTCCCACACCGATGCTGAAGGTAGGAAATCGCTATGTTCACGCGAGGAAGAGCTCCCAATGAACGATCGACGCGTAAAACCGGCCACCCGGCAAGACCCGAGCATCGAACACGTCTACTGCCGCGACTTGATGGTCTTCCTGAAAAGCGCTTCTCGGATCCGATGCAGTCCCCCGAAGTCGTCCGCTAAGCTTTTGCTTAAACCCCGCCGAGGTGAAATATTGTTTCACATCGCGAACCGCTAGGACGAGACTCCGCGATGCAACGCAGACGACGGCTTCTTGGGCGATGAATCCGGAATCCATGAATGTATGATTCGATATATCAAGTAACCGCGATAATACGGTGAAAGTCGTGGAGTACGTGCGTTTTTATACTTATAAAAACCGACTCCTGTCTAGTGGCTAAGACTGAATATTTATTTGCTTGTCTTTCCTCGGATATCCAGACGCTCGACGGAGTCTAGGTAGCTGTTAAGCTCTTAGAAAACGTCGCCGGGAGGAGAGAACACCACCTACGAGACGATAAATCCTCGAGATTATACAGCACTATAGAGCGCCGCGGTGTCGTTTCTTCTGGGTGTTTATAACGGAGAGGGAACGAGGACGGGACTTACAAGAGAAACGGAACTCGTCCAGTCTTTTCAAGGAGAGACCGTTTGCTCGATAGATTGGTTAGCAAGCCGAAGAATCAGCGACTTGATCATAGGAAGACTTCGCGGCTCCGGGCTCAAGGACCCAATTTGAGACGGGTCGCGTTCCGCACGCCACCCGCGGAATCGTGACGGTCTCTACGCTTTCCAATCATTCTCGATCAGAGCAGACGATCGATTTCGTGCGTGAAGCTCGACCAATCGTCGAATACATACGCGGGGAGTCACGTGAACATCATTCTTAGAAAGTCGTCACCGAGACTCGCGAGTCGTTCGAGACTCGCGCGTTCACCAAGCTGGCAGAATAAATCCAGAGGTAATGGAGAGGAACGAAGCTGGGTGGGGAATCGCACGAAGCGATTGACCCTCAGACTCAGCGAATCTGCGGTTTATACAGTCAAGTGCTTGTTTCTCTGGCTTCTCCTCCCGCTCACGGTGACGCTGTGGAGCGGGTCTCAAACTCCAGCGGTTTCGTTGGCCAGCAGCCTACGCGCTCCATCAAACGTCGCTCACAACCAGCGAACGAGACATTTCGTCCCAGTGGTAGCAGCAGTCGCTTGGAAAAGCCTCAAGAATCCCATCTTCCTCCCTCAATCACGCTGGACACTATTTCAGACCGTTTTACCAATGTGAGCTCTTCGGCTCAACGAGAGCCTCTGTCTCGCTACAGGAGGAACAATCCTGTTCCCCAGGAGTAACCGTTCGTTCCGATTGATTCCCCTGATCCACAGGACCAATGAGCCTTATATGACACTGCTTGGCTGGGAGCTCAGAAATCTCCAGTCCAGCGAGGACGAATTCTGACCGGGTATCCGCTGGTGTGCGCGAGGAGCTTTCTCGTTGTTCTTGAGCTCGAGTCACACCTGACGTTGCAGACTACCGAATTTTCGGGACAACTTTAATTCGCCTCGTCCAGGCACCGTTTCAAGTTCACTTGGAAGCAATTAGCTGACTGCCGGAGATATTTGCGGAGAGAGCCTCTGACGAAGCTTCCTCCTCTTCTCTCCTCCTTCCGTGGGCTTGGGAGCGACTTCAATTACTCTCGAGTCGCTTAGCTCTCGCTTTTCTCTGAGGCCCAGCGGAAGTATCTGCCAGAGAAAGTCCTCTGTGAAGGGTTGAACTAAAAGCTCACTTACAAATATCGTCCTGGTAAAGTACAGCAATTTTGGTCCAATTGAGGTACGAGACGAGATCCTTGAGAGAGTTGCCCATGACCTGCGAGTCCGGGTGCAGATTGATCGAGAAGTCTTTTACGTCCGTCTCGAGGTCTAATCGTGATTCGATGTGCGGGATGTCAAGAGAGTCAGCTAGCGACTGGATATGGCCTCCAACAACGGGATCCGAGGGACCAAATATCGTTGCTGCCCCCTCCTTTATTAGATGGCACGCTGGAAGGAAGAATATTTCCTTTAAGGACCTGGTCCGCTCGTCGCCCGAGGATAAGGCAACCTCGCTCATTCCGTTTACGGAGGAAAACGCTCTGGGGTCGAGCAGATCATCCGTGAGCAAGTCCCGCGCGACGATGACACGGAACGAGACGGCTCGCTTACCCATCTTAGCAGCGCGGAAACTGTTGCCTCGTGGCACGTACTGGATGTCGTACTGGAACGTCACGTTAGGAAGGAGATTTCGGTCTTTGTTGATTCTCATTACGGCGTACTTGAAGGCCAACTCCGCTGAACTCCCTTTAAGCTCTTCTGTGAACAAGGCTCCTGGAAGGAAACGAAAGGTCTCAGATTTCACTCCTTCGAACTTTGGAGGTGTATTTTCCGACCCGAAGGCGGCGCAGCGTTTCGACAAGAACCCTCGACCTCCCCTCGGTTTCGAATGACGTCGCTCCGTGTATTTTCTTTTCGATTCTTATATTCGATGGAGGGAGCGTCGGATGCTCGTATTCCTCAGTTCCCGTCCTATATCTCGGATTCCTAGATTCAGATTTCGGCCACGTCTGTAAGCAGGGTGACTGGCGGACTTTTGTGCACCACAGTGGTAAGCACGACATTAGCATTGTGTTGATGCGGCAAACATCTCACCAGAGCATTAATCACCGGGATTTTCCGTCCGCCGCACCGCCTACCCGGTCACGTCATCAGAGCGAAAAAGCTTTCTCCGAGTGAGTACTTTTCTCCTTGGGAGGAGCTCAAGCCAACAGTTTACGAAAACTGAAGACCCCTCGAGTGACAAGTTCACGTCTCCCCTGTTGCTGTTGATACAGACCCTGCTCCCACTGGCGTAGACCTTTTGGCACCGCGGCACTTAGTACTCGGAGAGGATCGAAAGTTTCGGGGTTCCGCATCTCGGAAAGATCACAGAATTCACAGACTTCATCCAGATGGATGTTATGTGACTATTCCGAGGGGATGATAAACATGACGAGCGGAAAATTCCACAGATGGCACGTGACACACTTTTGATCCATCAGGCGACAGCGTGTGTTCGGGGGCGCTATCCTGTTGATGGAGACTTTCGGGTGTCTTTTGAGCGTGATCTTTTCCATTCATTTCTCGCTGTGAGTGTGTTCTTGTCGAGCCGCCCCCGCGAAATTCTTGAGCAACCCACTGAGCGATGGAGCTCTCGGAGGTACCTTCCGTTGGCAACGAGATTTTATAACGGGGAAGAGTTGTCGTGCATGAAATCCCAAAGTTCGAGTGTGCACCTACGTATGTAGGCAATCCGGATTCCGAAACTCTTTTTGAGGGGTTTCTCGCGCGTCAACCCCCCCTCTCGGCTGGAAAAGTTCCCAGTGAGAGGGTGACATTCGGATCCGGGTCAGGCCTCTCCCATCCTGGCTTGACGAGGCGACAAGGGAACGAAGCTCTGCTCACACACGGACTTCGGTGTTAACCATCAATCTCGATATCACCAACTCACAACAATGGTCTATCTGCCTTTCTGCCAAGGCTCGCTATCTATCTGTTGGTCCATCCGCCTATCTTTCCGGCGTCCATCGATCCCGTCGAGCAAGTGAGCGACGGGGAGGGCTACCCAGCCAGCCACCCACCAACCAACCGCGCAACGGACGCTTTTTCCGTCTGTCTCTCCGTGGGAGTATCTGCAGCCGCCTGCAGGCAAAACGAACGGGGAAACTTGGTCTGTGTAAAGCGGCCGGATTCTCTGGTAGGTAGTTTTGCCGGCCCCGCTTAGTTCTACTCCCTCGCTCTCGGAGGCACGAGAGACGCCTAATATTTCCACAGGAGCTGAAAACGCAGCCGAACGTAATATCGGGCGAAGACGAGACTCCGGGAGCGTCACGCTATTCACTCACTCAGTAATTGATCACGAATACTCGAACCTTCGATGTCGCGATGGTACCACCGATAATACGCACCAAGAGCGGGATTTCTCATCGCGCGGTGATTCCCGTGATAATCAACTGGAAAGGGTGGGATGAATCACGAAGAGGATCACCCCAAGGTCCCCAAACGACAGAGTTCCTTCCTGACATTGGGCCTTGTATTGTAATATGGGGTCCGATTCCGCTAATCCCTCAATCGGCGCGGGAGTCTCGACCAACGGGAAGGATCCAGTGCCCTAATCGTGAGAGCCCTCGACTACAGACTCGAGTGACTTCATACAATGGCGGGTAATTTCGGAAAGGGCAGATGCTTATTTCCATAAAGGGATTCCACGCGACTCAGACGCCCTCAGACAGCTTATTCGCCGTCACTCGGAACGAACGTTCGGCTGTACTAGAACCACATTGCGAGCTGGAGGTGAACTCCCCTGGGGTTCCCCGTAACTTGATTCGAGACGTAGGACAAGGCGGAAGCGAGAAACGTCGATCGGCCACCGGCGCCACCGAAAGGCTCCGAGCGGGAAGCGCCACCGAGGACGCACGGATGTAGCGGAAGCTACGCATTATGAAAATCGGAATCGTGGAACGAATTAGATTCTACGGGGAGCGGAAAAAAGAAGAAGCATCCCTCGGGAATTCAGTTCTTGATCGTAGGCGTTCGGGAGGCCATTACGAAAATCGTTGCCGAATCTATTCAACGTATTATACCCTCTAGGCGGCGTTCTGCGTGAGATTTCGGAATCTCATCGGATCATTCGGTTTCCGACTTCTTTCAACGAGAAATTCCAACTCCGCTCAGCTTTTCACCTCCGACACTCTGCGAGCGTCAGTCGAATTCCGATCCGAGGACTCCATTCATCTCCATTGATTCTTTTCGGCCATCTGACTTCCGACAAAACTTATCTCTTTTTTCAGTCGCCTACGCCCAGTGTGCAGCCTCGACGGTTCGTCGCTCGGACCGTATGTTGGCCGGCTCGTCTTCCTCGGAGTTCAAACCCTTTGCGGCGAGACGCTCCCGCCGCTTCGGCAGAGTTGTAGCACGAGGCTCTTTCGGTTGCTTATGCGCGTGGGATGGGAGAGAATAGCAGCAGCAGCAGCAACAACGACGACGACGACCGAAAGTCCTATAGAAGAAAATACCAAAGAACGAAGACTACTTCTGAAAGCGCCGAAGGCTTCTCCTATCGGTCGGCGTGTCGTTCGCTCGGCTGCTGGTGGTTGTGCTGATGCTGTGCGGTTCCCTTTGAATAGAGCTCCGTTTTGCGGTGCTCTGCTGTGATCCGAGAAAGCTCTCGCGTTCCTTCGTATGTCAGTCACCCCGTGTATACGAGAACACGCTCATCCGGCTCGCGTTGGGGTCTACTACAAACTACGGACATGACGTCAGCTATTGAGCGTGGCCATGAACATTCAAACGTTGTTCAATCGACGAAGATCATTCTATTGGCGAGCGATCGATCGGATAACCGACCGGCTCTCCGGGTTCGCAACACGGCTGGACGAGACTCCTTATCGCCCCCCAGTGAGTTTTTCCACAAAGTTCGGACCTTCTCGAGTGCAGATCTCGACTTTCACGCGCTGCAACCCGCCTGCGGAAGTAAACTTCTTATCCGAGCTCGCACCCCTGCAAAGATTCGCTCCATGACGACTTGTTCCTCAAGACCTGTGGATTCAGTTGGGCACCTGAGGTCACGGCATCCGCACGCATACTCCTGCGATGCTCTCCTGACCTCTCTCAGGTCCGATATAGCAGCAACACGCCCGATAGCAAGTGTCGTGGTCTTGTATTCACAGCACAGCTGAGCCGGCCGTAGAGTCGCTCACCGGGGAATGTATCCTAGACTGCCTCTTACTTTCGGCGCCGTCGTAGCCGCTCGGCTCGCTTAAACTCTCAGTCGACGGAGACGCATGCGACGGATGTCCATGGACAGCCAGCGATAGTAAAATAAAATGAATATCACAAGAGGTGCCGCATCCATTGTATCAAGGCGGAAGGGTAATGGCGATAGGCTAGGGCCCTTGGGCCACCTCAGGAGCCGTGGCATCTGAGGCATCGCTGACCAGCGCCGTAGGAATCAGTGGCGTTGGCAGCCTGTGAATGAATGGCTGAAGCGGCCCTTTGTTCCGATTCAGATTAATTTGCATTGCAGATCAACCACGTGATCAGCTGGCCAACCAAGCACACCGCACGGCGATGAAGCCGCGCGAGCCACGCGCTTCGTCGCCTTGAGCGTACATAAGTGAGATATCACGCTCTATCCCTCTTTAGAAGCAAGTTCCGGGACTGACGATATTCGCGATCCGAGTTCGAGCGAGAGTCTTGATTTAGACTTGGGCACCCGAGATTGCCTTTCCCGAGTTCTTAGCGACATCGGCGACAGAACTCGTACTATGAATGAAGCGTCAGGTTGCCGAAAGGTCGAAGCACAGGGCTCATCATGCACAGATTTGCATCGATCACCTTGACCTTGTCTCGTGCGAGAGCTCGTCGGGTCAAACTCCACATTAGGTGGCCGGGTACTTCCTGCGAACATTTCATCGGGAAAGCTTTCAGAGAATCTACCGATACCGAGAGTGTTGGTGTCTAGAGAAATCCCTTGGTTCCCTTTCTCCCCCGGCGATCGCCGAATAGGATCCCCCGGGCCATGATCGACCGGATTTCGGTGTACAGCTCTCACGCACTAAAGCCGTTGCGGCGGGACCGGGAAGCGGTGAGGGAAAAAACGGTTGGCTTCCTTGTGGATTAGAGCTGATTAAGTCTTGGAAGGCTCAGGTTTCTTCTCACAGCAGGGGAGATCGGGTGAGCTCAGATCGCGCCTCTGATTCATTCGCAACAGTGTGCAAAGTTCAACACGTACGGGAGAACCTCGCTGCGGCTAGTTGCGTGCCGACATCGATTCCGTCGGGCTCGCTCCCGATAAGGGACGAAAGAGAAACGGAATGTCGAATCTTAGGAATTCCCTCGTTCCATGACTCTCACGCGGCGTAATTTTCCACTTGGAGGCTTGTTGGCTAAGTGGGTACCTCGCTCGGACACCGTTCGGATTAAAATTCGAGGCCATTGTGCTACCCGATTGCCAACGACTTTGTCGAAGAAATTTATTGCCGACAATCGCAACGGCACGACACGGAGAATCATCGAGCTTCTGACTCCGGGAAGACACGGTCCGCCGCCGTTCACACCGAGAAGCTCTGGATGGATCGGGCGATTCGTCAGATACCATGCACCAGACCCGGAGAGGCTGTATCATACAGCCTCATGAATTCGCTCGGGATCATAGAATAAAAAGACAATAATAATAATTCTTAAGGTGAGGATTCTGCGATTGGCAAGCAATCGTAATTCCATTGTCCTGCATTCGCCGCCCGGAAGGGGTTCTCGAATACTTGACGCAGACGACTTCAGTCGAGGATGGGCTCGAGTTTCCACTTGAGGCGCGGGTCACAGACAATTGCCGCCGAATTCGCTCTCGGCACCTGAGAGTGTGTACATGCGCAGCTGACTCCGTAACGACCCCGTGTAGCTAGTTTGTTCGAGCTCCGCCTTATTCCTTGCTGCTTCCTTCCCTCCGTTTGATCGCCCATCGTTTCGCTTATTCGTTCGTGTTTCTAATAGCTTACTCAGCACTCGCAAGAGCGGCGGTTCGGATATCGAACGGGAGCTCTCAGGCCAAGACGAGCATCGAACGTACAGCTCTCTGGGTCAGTGTGAGGTCTCCGTGAGACTCGGTCTCTTGTTGTTGGTAACATCGTCGTCTCCGTCGTCGTCGTCGGCGGCAGGCCTTTGTTTTTGATGCTATTCATCGAGGAAGCGACGAGGCGACAGAGATGCGAACAGCGAGACAACTGGTGAGAGTGTCGCTGCTCCTTCGGGACAAGGAAAGCGTTCCCTTGCTCCGAGCCATTCCACCTCTTCCGTGTGTCTTCCTGTCCGATGCCGGTGGTAATCTCGTTCTGCGCTCCCGGTGCTTCGATGCTCTCCGTTAGTTGCTCGCCGTTCG